GCAAATGCAGATGCAGCAGCAGCAGCAGCAGCAGCAGCAGGGCCGCAGCAGGGGCCCCGTAGCTTGTCTGCCTTCGCCTTCTTTGCTTTCTTCACTCCCCGCTGGTGTAAGATATGATGAGCATAAAAATGCCTTTAGAGCCCTCGTTCGTACACCTGAAACGAAGGTAAACAAGTCTTTCTCTTGTAAGAAGTACGGGCCCCTTAAGGCGCTGCAGATGGCTGCTGCTGCTGCTGCTGCGTCTGCTGCTGCTGCTGCTGCTGCAGCAAGAGGCACTGCCCAGTGGTCAGCCTATACTACAGACTCTCACCAAATGCAGCTAGCAACGAAAGCTTGCTTCTCTCCGTTGCAGCAGCAGCAGCAGCAACAACAGCAGCAGCAGCAGCAGCAGCAGCAGCAGCAGCATGGGGAACAGCTACCTTTTGGTGTCCCCTCTTGCTGCACTGCTCCTCCTGCTTCTGCTGCTGCTGCGCTTGGAGGGAGCTTCCCGCCGCAGGAGATGATGGTGGCAGCAGCAGCAACGCCACCGCATGCAGCAGCAGCAGCAGCAGCAGCAACTGCAGCACAAACTGCAGCAGCAGCCAGCGCCGCCGCCGATATGTTGGGTTCCTTAGATCAGCAGCAGCAGAAGCAGCAGCTACTGCTGCAGGAACAGCAGATGTTTCCTCACCCACAGCAGCAGCAGCAGCAGCATCTCCTGATGCAGCAGCAGCAGCAGCTACAGGGGAGCCTGCTGCAGCACGACATGACTGCGCAGATGCACCAGCCCTTGCTGCTGCCTCACGATCAGCAGCAGCAGCAGATTCTGCTGCAGCAGCAGCAGCAGCAGCACCTAACAGGTTCCAGTCTTCCCTTGTCACACACGCCGCAGCCGCAGCTGCAGCATGCGTACCTACAGGATAGCAGCACACAGCAGCAGCAGCAGCAGCAGCAAATGCTGCCGCTGCTGCGACACCCGCCAAGGCTGCCCCGACTGCCGCAGCAGCAGCAGCAGCAAACACACATGTTTGGGGTGTCTCCTTCCTATTCTGTAGCAGCAGATGGGACCCCTGCATGCAGCGCAGAATCACAGTCTCCGTGGTGTGCTGCTGCTGCTGCTGCTGGCAGCAGCAGCAGCACTCCTGCTGTCTCGATGCTACCTGAAGAGGCAGACTCAGACTCAGACAGCCCAAATGGGTCTGAGACGCCAGCAGCAGCAGGTGCAGCAGCAGCAGCAGCAGCAGCAGGTGCAGCAGCAGCAGCAGCAGGTGCCGCAGCAGCAGCAGCTGCTGCTGCCGCAGCTGCTCCCAGTCTGACGAGCCAGCATGCTCCAGAAGAGCACCAAAATAGAGATGCATTTGCTGCTGCTTCTGCTGCTGCACTCAGCGCAAATGAGCATAAGAGACACTTGAACGAGGCAGCAGCAGCAGCAGCAGCAGGTTTGGATTGGGGCTGCTGCCGCTGCTACCGTTGCGGCGCCCCCCAGAGCTTCTTAGGAAAGGGCAGCAGCAAAGAGTATCAGCAGCAGCAGCAGCAGCAGCCATATAAGACACTTAAAGCAGAGGCTGGAGCGCCTTCTGCCGATGCTGTTGCAGCAGCAGCAGCAGCAACAGCAGCAGCAGCAGCAGCAGATTCTCTGGTTTTCTCTGAGCAGCTGGGAGGTTGGGTGGCGGTCCCCAAGTTTGCAACGAAGGATGAAGCAAAGAGCAGCAGCAGCAGCAGCAGATGCATGCGCCTCTTTGCCTGTTTTCCTGTGGGGCCCGGCGAGAGTTTGACAGCAGCGCGAGAAGCAGCCTTGACCTGGCTCAACCAGCAGCAGCAGCAGCAGCAGCAGCAGCAGCAGCAGCACCAAAAGCAAGAAAAGCGAGAGCAGGAGGAGGAGGAGCAGCAGCACGAACCGCAGCAGCAGCAGCAGCAGCAAGAAAAAATGCACCTGCAGCAGCAGCAGCATTCCAGCGACGGCACTTTGGTGCTGCCAGCAACAGATAACCGTGCAAGCGAGCAAGCTGCTGCTGCTGCTGCTGCTGCTGCTACATTGCCTGAGAGGGAGGATGGGGGCGCGAGCTGTCTGTCCCCCAGCAGCAACAGCAGCAGCAACTTAGCAGCAGCAGCAGCAGCAAAGGTAGAGCGTAGTTTAAAGCGGAAGAACTCCGACTGCAATTTGGGGCCCCCAGCTGTTCGAGTTAAGGGGGAGAGGGAGACAGAGACAGCTGGCAGCAGCAGCAGCAGCAGCAGCAGCAGCAGCAACAGCAACAGTGAAGAAAATGACGGTGACAAGGATAGGGCTAAGCAGCAACAGCAGCAGCAACAGCAGCAGCAAGACTGCCCGGATGGTGCTGCTGCTGCTGTTTCAGATGCTCCTTTGTTTCCCTTATGGGTGCACGTGGAGCAGCAAGAAGGCCAGCAGCAGCAGGTGCAGCAGCAGCAGGTGCAGCAGCAGGTGCAGCAGCAGCAGGTGCTGGAGGAGAAGGAGCGGCAGCAAGGAGAGCAGCAGCAAAGCAGCAGCGGGCTGCTGCTTCACCAAGGAGCTTCGCATTATGAGGTGCAGCAGCAAATGCTGTTGGTTGCAGCAGCAGCAGAACCTTGCGGATCTAGCTAGACAGCAGCAGCAGAAAATGCATGTCATCAAATGCAGCAGCAGCAGCGCAGCACAAACTGCAGCAGGAAATACGTGACAGCAAATGCAGCAGCAACACTAGCAGCGACGACAGCGACAACTGCAGGAGCAGCAACTGCAGCAGCAACAACGGCAGCGGCAGCTGCAGCAGCAGCAAATGCAGCAGCAGCGAGCGCGCCATGAACAACAGCGGACGAAGCAGCGTACTATGCGCAGCAGCAGCATAAACAGCTGCAGCAGCAGCACAAACAGACGCAGCAGCAGCTGCAGCAGCAGCGGTCGATGCCTTCCTTTGAGGCCAGTTCAGTTAGCCGGTATTCCTATTGTGTATACCTGAGGTGTATGCACACCTCAGCAAAGAAGACAGCGTGGATTGTTTATTTGAGTTCGACGACGGCTCTGGGGTGTCGCGAGAACATCTGGGGCCCCTTCAGCCGCCGTCTATAGACGCCTCGGGTGTATAGGCACCTCAGGTGTATAGGCACCTTTGGTGTATGTATAGGCACCTGAGGTGTATAGGCAGCTCATGTGTATAGACAGCTCAGGTGTACAGGCAGTTCAGGTGTATTTATAGGCACCTGGGGTGTATGTATTTAGGCACCTCAGGTGTATAGGCACCTCTGATCTCCATCTATACATCTGAGGTGATGCACCTTCAGGTGTATACGCAGGCACCTGAGGTGTATAGGCATACACATGAGGTGCACATATATATGCTGCTTGAGGTTATTTATATATTATGAATATTGGAGCTGTCTTCTACGGTGTACACTTAATTGCGCATGCGTTATTTATTCTGAGGTGTACGTACACCTGAGGAGCGTGCAGCGAGCTTGCTAGAAGTATATTGAATTGTTATTATTAATATTATATTATTATTATTATTGTTATTATTATTAAATAATAATATTGAATATTATTATTATTATTATTGTTATTGTTATTAAAGCGCCTGCTTGATGTTCTATAGACAGTGCAGGCCCCAGTTGCATATATACATGTTTGAGGTGTATATACACCTCAGGTGCATGCAGCGCTTCTTACTGCAGTTTCTTTCTCTTTCTTTCTCATCTTCATTATCCGTTTGCATCATTAAAGGCAACTGCATCTTTCAGCTGCTTTCTTATGTTTATATACATACTGCAGGCCCGGGCGAAGCAATGATATATATATATATATATATGTATATATATATATATACATATATATATATTTACATCGCCATCTGCGCGTACACCTGGGAGCAGCTTCCTTGGTTCTGTTTTTGTCTCTGTTGCTGCTGCTGCTGTTGCAGCAGCCGCACCAGCTGCGGCAGCAGCACCAGTTGCAGTAGCATCAGCTGCAGCAGGAGCAGCAGGTGCAGGTGCACCAGCAGCAGCAGCAACAGGTACAGCAGCAGCAGGTGGTGGTGGTTGCGAGCGTATGCAGCAGCGCTGTTAGTGTTGTCTCTTCTGTCTTTTTTCTGCAGCCTAACGGCAGCAGACCAGCAGACTCAACTTCCCTCAACTGCTTCCGAATCACACTGCAGCAGCAGCAGCAGCAGCAGCAGTAGTAGTAGTAGTAGTAGTAGTAGCAGTAGCAGTAGTAGTAGTAGAAGCAGTAGAAGCAGCAGCAACAGCTACTGAGTTAGCAGTAGCAGCAACAGCAGCAGGAATTATATATGTGTGGTCGACTGTATACTCTGGGGATGCAGCAGCAGCAGCAGCAGCAGTTTTGCTGCTGCTGGCGGTATTGTCGCTCCTGCAACTAAACCTGGTTCTTCTATTGCTGCAGCAGCAGCAACAGCGACAGCAACAGCAGCCGCAGCAGCAACAGCAACAACAACAGCAGCAGCAGCAGCAACAGCAACAGCAGCAGCAACAGCAGCGACAGCAGCAGCACCAGCAGCAGGTGCAGCAGCAGCAACAGCAACAGTAGCAGCAGCAGCAGCACAATCGATGCTGGGGGGCCGAGTGTCGCACACCCGTGGGGTGTATAGGCACCTTCATCTCTTTGATTTAAATGTACAAAGACAAATCATAGCTTAAAATATTTCTTTTTCTTCGCTGTAAATCTGCTGCTGCTGCTGCAGCCACCGCAGTCACCGACTCAAGAACGGGCGGTGGGCCAGCTGCTGCTGCTGCTGCTGCTGCTGCTGCTGCTGCTATTGCTGCTGCAGCAGCCTATCTTCCCTAATAATGAAGTGTATAAAGAAACGTAAATCAGCAACATAGTGTTATTAAATTAAACAGACAGACATCTCGTCTACACCGATAGCAACAAAGACTTGTGCTGCTGCTGCTGCTGCTGCTGTTGCTGCTGCTGCTGCCGTCCGTTGCTTGAGCCGCAGCTGGACCACTCCAGCAGCAGCAGGAGCCGCAGCAGCAGCAGCAGCAGCAGCAGCAGCAGCAGCAGCAACAGAAACATCTAGTCAAACGATACAAAAGGGTTAATGTACGTCTTGATGTTTTATTTTCCTATCATAGTCTTCCTTCTGCTGCAGCAGCAGCAGCAGCACCATCACCGCAGCAGCAGGAGCCGCAGCAGCAGCAGCAGTAGCAGCAGCATCGAGGCACATTGAATGCCTTCTCTTCTTGCACTCTGCTGCACACCGAGAATAATAAGTTATTTATATTTGTCTAGTTTCTTAGCTGCATTAAAGCTGCTGTCTTTCTGTATCTTCCGCCTGAATACTCCTTGTAGCAGCAGCAACCGCGCTCGCTGCTGCTGCTGCTGCTGTTGCTGCTGCTGCTATTGTCTAGCTGCTTGAACGCGGCAGAGCATGCAGCGGGTTGAAGAAGCATCTTATTAATTTTTCTCTAGAGACAGCAACAGCGCCTCTTGCTGCTGCTGTTTTGCTGCTGCTGCTGCTGCTGCTGCTGTCGCTGCTGCCTCCAGCGGTGTTCCTTGTCGGTTGAACGATGTATCGAGATGAAGCAGCAGAAGCAGGAGCAGCAGCAGCAGCACCTGCTGCAGCAACAGCAGCAGCACCTGCTGCAGCAGCAGCGCCATCATCAGCAGCAGCACCATTAGCAGCCGCAGCACCATCAGCAGCATCATCACGAAGCATTTCGGTTGTAGCAGAGCCTCCTCTCCTTTACCCTCTCTCATCTGTCTTCTCTAATTCAACAGCAGACACACAAACACACTCAGACACCATCCCGCTTGAGATGCAGCAGGGCACCCAGGGGCCCCCCGGGGGCCCCCCGACTGGGGGTCTCGGGGGCCCTGAGGGGCCCCCCACTGGGGGCTCTGGGGTGTCACCCAGTGGAGGCCCTGGGGGGCCCCCCACTGGGGGCCTGGGGGGCCCCCCCACTGGAGGCCCTGGGGGGCCCCCCACTGGGGGCTCTGGGGGTCCTGGATTGCCCCTGAGTGGGGGCCCACGGGGGCCCCTTATTGGGAGCTCTGGGGGCTCTGGGGGGCCCCTTATTGGGAGCTCTGGGGGCCCTCGGGGGCCCCTGATTGGGGGCGTTGAGGGCCCTGGGGGCCCCCTTATTGTGGGTGATGTTGGTGGGCGTTCGATTGGATTGAACGGGCCCATGGAGAGGGTTCAGGTGTTGTTTTATTCGGGGGTTTGTTTAACAAGCTTAGTTTTATTTCCTTCATTGCTAGGCTTCTATTTGCTGTCTCCTGATGTTGTGTCTCTGCATGTTTGTTTGCTACCCCCTATAACGGCATTTTTTCAGGCTCTTGCAGTGCCGGTTGGGGGCCGCTGCTGCAGCAGCAGCAGCAGCAGCAGCAGGAACAGGAACAACACCAGAAGCAGATGCTTCTTCTTTAGAAGGCATTGCACGAGGTGCATTCGCTGCACGCAGCAGCAAGACTACAGATTTAAAATCAGTGTATGTGCAGCTACAGTCGCACCCATCATCGCTATCACCACCATTATGCTCCAGGTACAATAAGGGTTTAGGGTTTAGGGCTTAGGGTTTGGGGGCTAGGGTTTAGGGTTTAGGGCTTGGGGTTTAGGGTTTGGGGTGTAGCAGGTGTTGGTTGTTTGGGGTTTAGAGTTTGTGCCCGTGCACGGAGTTGCAGTTGGTAAAGGTTTTAGGGTTTGCTGAGGGTTTAGGGTTTAGGGTTTAGGGTGTTTTAGGGTTTAGCAGATGCTGGTTGTTGAAGGGTTGTATCGGAGCTCGAGCTCAAATGCATTTGTTTCCTTGTTCCTTGTTCCTTGTCATTTATAATTTGATTATTATTTAGGGTTTAGGGTTTAGGGTTTAGGGTTTAGGGTTTAGGGTTTAGGATTTTGGGGTGTATGCGTATGTGCAGCATCCTTGGGGCGCGCATTTGTGTCTTTTACCTTTTTCTGTTTGTCTTTTATTTCTTTGGCCCCATCATTTCTTCATTGTTGTTATTTGCTCGCATGTACACCTCGAACTCATTCTCAGCAACGCTTATCTCTTTACTGCAGGTAAACCCTAAACCCTAAATCCTAAACCTTAAACAACCCTAAACCCTAAAGAGCTTCGTTGAGGTCTTGCTGATTTCGATGTGTTTGTTTTGTTGTGTTGGTATTGTTTCCTGCTTGTCTTGCAAGCCTTGTATGTATGTTATTTGCATGTACTTTAGGGTTTAGGGTTTAGGGTTTAGGGTTTAGGGTTTATTGTGTGTGTGTTGTGTGTAGGGGGTTCGAGTTGGTTTGTATGCGGTGTTTTTTGTGGTGTTGTTTGTTTATTTCCTCTGGGTTTATATTTATATTTAGTAAGTGTATTAGATAATTTGCTGCCTCCAGCAGCAGCAGCAGTAGCAGCAGCAGGAGCAGCAGTAGGAGGAGGAGGAGGAGGAGCAGCAGCAGCAGCAGCAGCAGGAGGAGGAGCAGCAGCAGCACAGGAGGCCTCTGTCGGGTGTTTAGGGCTTGTGCATTTGCATAAGTATCTGCTGCTTGCTGCTACATTCTGGGGGTGTGCTGATGTTATATTAGTTATAAATCTGCATCTGCTGCATCTGCCTGTCTCACCTCTTCCTTCTGATTTGCATGCATTAGCAGTAGATTACCCTTTAGAAGTGCTGAAGCAGCAGCTGCAGCAAGAGAGACAGCTTCTTGCTGCTAGTGCATTCATCTTCTCTCTCTGCGGTGTCTCTATATTCCTAATTATACTTATCTGCAGCAAAGCAGATTTCACAGAGGCCTTCAGCCTAGCTAGCAGCAGCAGAACTCGTGCAGCAGCAGCAGCAGCAGAAGCAGCAGCTGCTGCAGCAACTGCAGCAGGAGCAGCAACAGCAGCAAATCTGCATGCAAATGTCTTTGGCGTACACACCCATAACGCAAGAGAAAGAAGAAGAAGAACTCAGGATGAAGAAACAAAAAAAATTAAATTCGTCAAGCATAACCTACGCACAGGCAGCAGCAGCAGTAGCAGCAGCAGGAGCAGCAGTAGGAGGAGGAGGAGGAGGAGCAGTAGCAGCAGCAGCAGGAGGAGGAGCAGCAGCAGCAGCACAGGAGGCCTCTGTCGGGTGTTTAGGGCTTGTGCATTTGCATAAGTATCTGCTGCTTGCTGCTACATTCTGGGGGTGTGCTGATGTTATATTAGTTATAAATCTGCATCTGCTGCATCTGCCTGTCTCACCTCTTCCTTCTGATTTGCATGCATTAGCAGTAGATTACCCTTTAGAAGTGCTGAAGCAGCAGCTGCAGCAAGAGAGACAGCTTCTTGCTGCTAGTGCATTCATCTTCTCTCTCTGCGGTGTCTCTATATTCCTAATTATACTTATCTGCAGCAAAGCAGATTTCACAGAGGCCTTCAGCCTAGCTAGCAGCAGCAGAACTCGTGCAGCAGCAGCAGCAGCAGAAGCAGCAGCTGCTGCAGCAACTGCAGCAGGAGCAGCAACAGCAGCAAATCTGCATGCAAATGTCTTTGGCGTACACACCCATAACGCAAGAGAAAGAAGAAGAAGAACTCAGGATGAAGAAACAAAAAAAATTAAATTCGTCAAGCATAACCTACGCACAGAGGTAAACGTACATTCAGCATGCATGCATGCATGCATGCATGTTTAGGTGAATGCATGCATGCATACATCCATGTCTCCAGGTGTATGCATGCATGCATTCATATGTTCAGGTGTATGCATGCATGTCTTCAGATGTATGCATGCATCAATCCTTTCAGGTGTATGCATGCATGCATGCATTTAGGTATATATATATATATATGCATGCATAGATGCATTTAGCTGAATGGATGTATTCGTATGCATGCATGCACATAAACAGACACGCACACAAATATAAACATATATATACAAATATATATATATATTTATTTATTTATTTATATTTGTTTGTCTGCAGAAGGTGCGAGAGGCGTTATTATTGCGGTGTACGATATGTCAAGAGACAATGAAGGTCGGAGAGAAAATCGTTGAAGTACCCGAGTGTCTGCATGCATTTCATACGAATTGTTTGTTTCAGTGGTTCAGCACTCAGCTCTCCTGCCCTAACTGCAAAAGAGATATATATGCTGTTATCAAAGAGCACACTGAAGCAGCAGCAGCAGCAGCAACAGCAGCAACAGCAGCAGCAACAGCAGCAACTGGAGGGGAGACACTAACAACAACTGCAGACAGAAGGGGGACTGCTACTGCTGCTGCTGCTGCAGCAACACCGGCAGCGCCAGCAGCAGCAGCAGCAGCAGCACGAGGAACACCAGCAGCAGCAGCACCAGTAACACCAGCAGCAGCAGCAGCAGCAACAGCAGCAGCAGCAGAGACAGCGAGGCCTTTGTTTTATGCAGATGATGACACCTCCGTAGACACCGCAGATGGCTGGGTGGACGTCGAGTTGGGGCCACGCACTGTTGGCTACCAGCGCTAGCTGGCTAGCTAGCTGCTGCTCTAGCTAGCTAGCTAGCTGCTGCTCCTCTAGCTAGCTAGCTAGCTAGCTGCTCCTCTAGCTAGCTATCGATCTACCTGGTCCTCTAGCTAGCTATCGAGCTACCTGGTCCTCTAGCTAGCTATCTAGCTAGCTACTTGTCTAACTAGCCAGGTAGCTGCCGTTTGCTGAGCTAGCTGGCCCGCTGGCTAGCTATCTAGCTAGGCTACCTGCAGGCTAGCTATAAAGCTATATCTATCTATCTATCTATCTATCTCTATCTGTATCTATCTGTCTGCCTTTCTATCTACCTCTCTATCTATTTGCATATCTATATATCTACCTATCTGTCTGTCTATCTGGGTACCTATCTATCCAGCTAGCTAGCTAGCTAGCTAGCCAGCAGGCTAGCTGGCTATCTAGCTAGCTAGCTAAACAAGCAGCATTTTTTAGGTGGGGAGAGGCAGTGAATTTGTCTTCTCTCAGCTGCACTGACACCCAGGCAGCGAGGCGTTCGCAGCGAACTTACCGTTTAGCTAGCTAGCTGATTAGCTAGCTAGCTAGCGAACTGTTTGGCTAGCCAGCTGGATAGCTGGCTAGCTAGCTGGCTAACTGGATAGCTAGCCGCTTGTCTAGCTTCCAGCTGGCTAACTAGCTAGCTAACTAGCTGGCTACCTGTTTGCATATCTAGCTTGCGTGCTGGCTAGCTAACTAGCTAGCTAGCAAACTGTTTGTCTAGCTAGCTAACTAGCTAGCTAACTGTTTGCCCAGCTAGCTAGCTAGCTAGCTAGCTAGCTGGGGTAAGCCTTTGCCGTTTTATTGTACGTGCAAGAGAGGGAGACAGAGAAAGGAGACAGTTGGAGACAGTTGGAGACAGCAAATGAGTGATTGGCCAACAAACCCTCAAAGACAAGCAAAGAGGTAAAAGACAGAGACAGCGACAGAGACAGAGAGACAGACAGACAGAGACAGAGGGACAGACAGACAGAGACAGAGACAGAAAGAGAGAGAGACAGAGACAGAGACAGAAAGAGAGACAGAGACAGAGACAGAGACAGAGAGACGGAGAGAAAGAGACGGAGACAGAGAGACAGAGACAGAGACAGAAAGAGAGAGACAGAGAGAAATAGACAGAGACAGAGAGACAGAGAGAAATAGACAGAGAGACAGAGACAGAGACAGAGAGACAGAGACAGAGAGAAATAGACAGAGACAGAGACAGAAAGACAGAGACAGAAAAATAAGAGAGAGAGACAGAAGTGCGCATATTTTTTTGTTTTGTTTCGCTGGGTGCATTTACAGTGCCGATGTTTTTCGTCTTTGTTTGCTCAACAGCGACGAAGTTGCTGCACTTTGTCTCTTATGGTGTACATATAAATAAATAAATAAATAAACAAATAAACAAATGTTTATATATATATATATATTTTAGTATATCTTATGAAGTATATGTATATTAGCGTCTCTTTATGTATATATATCAGAGTGTCTCGTAATGTAAATATATTCGTTTGTCTATATTAATGCATATATATAATATATATAGATATATATATATATATATAGATATACATATATGTATATATATTAAGTATATATACATGTATAATATATATATATACATATTATATATATTAGCCTGTATGTATATGCGGTGTCTTGTCTCTTTAATCCGTCTTTTTGTCTCTTAGTGCGTCTGTTTAGAGCTAAAGCTCTCCACCAAACCCTAAACCCTAAACCCTAAACCCTAAACCCCAAACCCTAAACCCCAAACCCTAAACCCTAAAACCCAAGCCCTAAGCCCTAACCCCTCAATGATAATTACAGCGTTATAATAATAATTTGTATGCAATTTGCTGCTCTGTCAAGCCGTACACCGCGCATACTTTATTCTTTTTTTATAATTCTTTTTAAAGGGGTTTATATCTTTTTATTGTATATCTCGATGCTCTGATATAAGAGAAATATCCTTAGAAGTTGCTGCATGCAGCCTTATTACCTGTCTTCTCAGTCTTCTATGCATTATCTGCATGCATAAATAAATATAAATAACAAAAAATCTATAAAAATTAAAAATAAAAGGGAAAAAAACTAATATTTGTGAATGTACACCTGCGCATACGTTGCTGCTGCTGCTGCTGCTGCTGATATTGCTGCTGCTGCTGTTGCTGCTGTTGCGGCTGCTGCTGCTGCTGCTGCTGAGTGTAGATGCAGCAGAAAGGATCCTAAATGCGTATTATTTCTATGATTAATTATTTTAGAATTAAATTATAACATTAATATTAAACAAATAAACAAAAAAGAAAATATCCCTTGGGATAAACAGGGGGCCCCTCAATATATGTTTTCTGTCTGAGTTGTGCTGCAGCGTTCTGAAAATATTTTTTTGTTTTGTTTGATTAATAATACTTTTTGTAATATTTATTGATTAAACTCGTGTAAACAATGCATTAAATTAAATAAATTCAATAAAATGAGTACAAAGAAGAAGGAGGAGAAGAAGACAGAAAGATAAGGAAGCCTCTACTTGTATATTATATTATCTTGATCTCGGGTGTATCTACACCTCAGTGCAGCAGACAAAGAGAGTTTCATTTGTTTGTTTTGTTTGTTGAGTTGTTGTTAATACTCCTGGTATTGTTTGTCTTTTAAGCAGAGCATCAGCAGCAGAGCTTTGAAAGAGTTTGAAGCTGCAGCATGTCTATTGCTGCTGCAGCACTGCAGCAGCAATAAACAAGCATTAAAAAACACAAAAAAATAATCTCTGAGGCATCTCCTCTTCTTTCTTATTCTTTTTAGGGAATGACGAGGTTTATGGTGTATCTTCTCGTCTCTTTTACTTGCTATTTTGCTCTTTTATTTCTTCTCTTCTCTACTCTTGTAGACAGCAGCAGCCCTGTCTCAGAGCCCCCAGAGCTGCTCTGGAGTGGATCCCCTTTCATTTCTTCTCCTGTTGCTGCTGTTGCTGCTGATGAGGAGGAGGAGGAAGTAGGTGTTGATGCTAGGTCTGAAGACGACGGTGCAGCAGCAGAAACTGCAGCAGCAAGCAGCAGCAGCAGCAGCAGTTGGGTTGAGTCTACAGGTTCTTATGTCTCACCTCCCGGAGCAGCAGCAGGAGCAGGAGCAGGAACAGCAGCAAGAGGAGGAGGAGCAGCAGAGGAGGATTTATCAGCAGGTTGTTTATCTGCAGCAGCAGCAGCAGCTGCTGCTGCAGCTGAGCGCAGCACAAGCAGCGGGGATCTACGACGCATGTGTTTGCTCGCAGCAGAGCATCTAAATGCATTATATCAACGGATTAACACAGAGTATGTTGTGCTTTCACCTTTATCTGCTTCAGAACTAGCAGCAGCAATAGATCAAAACTTAGCAGCAATCCTTGAAGAAGAAGATGATATTGCCGACAGAGTTATACGGAGACAGCTGCCTCTTGGTTCTTTACCGGTGAAGACATTAAAAGAAGCAATAAAACAAAAGTTATTAGAGAGAAACAAACTAAAGAAAAGAAATATTACTACACTACCAGGGCTGCTAGGCGTTCAGCTGCAGCACGGGAAGCTGCTGCCTCTAGCAGATGCTGTAAATGCACTAGCAAATTTGTGTGATTTGCTGTTAGGACAATCGCTAGGTTTATCTCCTTTAACAGAGACAGAGAAGCAGCAGCTAGCTGAAGAGATTGAGGAGAGGTTTGCTATGCCTGCTGCAGCACTTAGCGATGCAGCAGCAGCAGCAACAACAACAGCAGCAGCAACAGCAGCAGCAACAGCAGCATATGAAGAAATGGTTCTTGAAGCAGCAGCAAGAACAGTAATGGATGTAGCAGGAAAGCCCTCACGAGCTGCTTCTCTTTCGCATGCATTTAGTAGAGCTGCTGCACCTTTGTTTACAGTTTTTGCTGACTCTCTGTCTCCTGTCTCTCTTGATGCATGCATAACATTAGTTAAAGGTTTATTTCCTTCGCTTCAAGCTCATATGACTACTCACTATCGCATGCAATCACCAACAAAGCAGCAAGAGAGACATATGGGTTTGCTGCTGCTGCCGCTGCTCAATGCTCATCGCAGCAGACTTCGCACCAGCGCAGCAACAGGAGCAGCAACATTAGCAGCAGAAGAGCATACACTCATTTGGACGTTTCTTGAAGTCTATGCAAGAGAGCATCAACTCGTAGGTGAAGAGAAGCCTATTAACCTGTGGAGATATCCTCAGCCTGCTGGAGCAGCAAATATACTCGAGTAATACCTCCTCTTCCTGCTGCTCCTGCTGCAGTTGCTGCAGTTGCTGCTGCTGTTGCTGCAGCGGAGGCAGTTCCTGCTGCTGCAGGTGCTGCTGCTGTTCCTGCAGCAGAGGCAGTTCCTGCTGCTGCAGGTGCTGCGGCAGAGGCAGATCCTGCTGCTGTGGTTGCTGCAGCAGAGGCAGTTGCTGCTGCTGCAGTTGCTGCAGCAGAGGCAGTTGCTGCTGCTCCAATTGCTGCTGCTGCAGCGGCAATAGAGGAACGAGTGGGAGCAGCAAAGAGACTGAAATACTGTGGAGAGCGTGCTGCTGCTCCTGCTGCTGCTGCAGCAACTGCTGCAGCAGCTGCTGCTGCAGTTCTGGATATAGACGAATCGGCAGGAGCAGCAAATGACATCGAATGAAATTCAACTTGGCTTATGCTGCAGCAGCAGCAGCTGCTGCTGCTGCTGCAGTAGCTGCTGCTGCTGCTGCTGCAGCATAATTCATCATCAGTAGCAGCAGATGCTGCTGCTGCTGCTGCTGTTGAAGATGGTGGAGATCATTGCAATAGATTGCTGCCTCCTGCATGCA